ACAGACTTTTTTTTTTTTTTTTTTTCAACAAGTCGGCCATCTCCCACCGAGGCAGGGTGACCCAAAAAAGAAAGAAAATCCCCAAAAGGAAAATACTTTCATCATCATTCAACACTTTCACCACACTCGCACATTATCACTGTTTTTGCAGAGGTGCTCAGAATACAACAGTTTAGAAGCATACACATATAACAGACTTATCCCCCTATAATTTTTGCACTCTCTTCTGTCCCCTTTGCCTTTATACAAAGGAACTATGCATGCTCTCTGCCAATCCCTATGTACCTTACCCTCTTCCATACATTTATTAAATAATAGCACCAACCACTCCAAAACTGTATCCTCACCTGCTTTTAACATTTCTATCTTCATCCCATCAATCCCAGCTGCCTTACCCCCTTTCATTTTACCTACTGCCTCACGAACTTCCCCCACACTCACAACTGGCTCTTCCTCACTCCTACAAGATGTCATTCCTCCTTGCCCTATACATGAAATCACAGCTTCCCTATCTTCATCGACATTTAACAATTCCTCAAAATATTCCCTCCATCTTCCCAATACCTCTAACTCTCCGTTTAATAACTCTCCTCTCCTATTTTTAACTGACAAATCCATTTGTTCTCTAGGCTTCCTTAACTTGTTAATCTCACTCCAAAACTTTTTATTTTCAACAAAATTTGTTGATAACATCTCACCCACTCTCTCATTTGCTCTCTTTTTACATTGCTTCACCACTCTCTTAACCTCTCTCTTTTTCTCCATATACTCTTCCCTCCTTGCATCACTTCTACTTTGTAAAAACTTCTCATATGCTAACTTTTTCTCCCTTACTACTCTCTTTACATCATCATTCCACCAATCACTCCACTTCCCTCCTGCACCCACTTTCCTGTAACTACAAACTTCTGCTGAACACACTAACACTACATTTTTAAACCTATCCCATACCTCTTCGACCCCATTGCCTATGCTCTCATTAGCCCATCTATCCTCCAATAGTTGTTTATATCTTACCCTAACTGCCTCCTCTTTTAGTTTATAAACCTTCACCTCTCTCTTCCCTGATGCTTCTATTCTCCTTGTATCCCATCTACCTTATACTCTCATTGTAGCTACAACTAAAAAGTGATCTGATATATCTGTGGCCCCTCTATAAACATGTACATCCTGAAGTCTACTCAACAGTCTTTTATCTACCAATACATAATCCAACAAACTACTGTCATTTCACCCTACATCATATCTTGTATACTTATTTATCCTCTTTTTCTTAAAATATGTATTACCTATAACTAAACCCTTCTATACAAAGTTCAATCAAAGGGCTCCTATTATCATTTACACCTGGCACCCCAAACTTACCTACCACACCCTGTCTAAAAGTTTCTCCTACTTTAGTATTCAGGTCCCCTACCACAATTACCATGACCCACTTTTTGCATCCAACCTTTACTTTAATCCACATAATCCTTGAATTTACACATTCATATTCTCTTTTCTCCTTCCATAACTGATCCTTCAACATTATCGCTATCCCTTTCTTAGCTCTCTCTCAGATACTCCAGATTTAATCCCATTTATTTCCCCCCACCGAAACTCCCCTACCCCCTTCAGTTTTGTTTCGCTTAGGGCCAGGACATCCAACTTCTTTTCATTCATAACACCAGCAATCATCTGTTTCTTGTCATCCGCACTACATCCACGCACATTCAAGCATCCCAGTTTTATAAAGTTTTTCTTCTTCTCTTTTTTAGTAAATGTTTACAGGAGAAGGGGTTACTAGCCCATTGCTCCCGACACTTTAGTCGCCTCATACGACACGCATGGCTGACGGAGGAAAGATTCTTTCCCACTTCCCCATGGACAATAGAAGAAATAAAGAAGAACAAGAGTTATTTAGAAAGAGGAGAAAAACCTAGATGTATGTATATATATATGCATGTGCATGTCTGTGAAGTGTGATCAAATGTAAGTAGGAGTAGCAAGATATCCCTGTTATCTAGCGTGTTTCTGAGACAGAAAAAGACACCAGCAATCCTACCATCATGTAAAACAGTTACAGGTTTCTGTTTCACAGTCATCTGGCAGGACGGTAGTACTTCCCTGGGTGGTTGCTGTCTAACAACCTACTATTAGTATTAGGTTAAATCTGCCTGAAATGCCACGGCATAGTAGTGGCTTTCTTTGCTCCAATCATATTATGATATGTAAACACTTATTGTAACCTTTGCAAAGAAATAAATATTTTATTTATTAATTTATTTAACCCTTTCAGGGTTTCGGCCGTACTAGTACAGCTTATGCACCAGTGTCCATGACGTACTAGTACGCCTAAATTCTAGCGCCCTCAATCTAGTGAGAGAAAGCTGGTAGGCCTACGTATGAAAGAATGGGTCTATGTGTTCAGTTGTGCTGCAGTAAAAAAAAACATCCTGCACACAGTGCGTAATGAGAAAAAAAAAAAACTTGACCATGTTTTTGGATTAAACAGCGACTTTGCAGTGATTTTTCGTATTGTATTTATTGTTGTATTCTAGTTTTCCAAGTGTCCCATTTTATCAGAATGGAGACATATTAACAAAATTGAGATGAATTCACACTATTTTACAATGAAAAGTTACCTTGGAATTGAAGCTCAAAATAGCAGAAATGTTTGATTTTACCAAAGTTTCAAAAGAAACTAATCATGCACGCGTCCCAATACACATAAACTGGTGAGTCTAATATTCTTTCACAAGTGCGCTGATATTATTTATGCCCATTTCTACACCTAATGCAGTAGTCTGCATAACCAGTAAATCTTCTAATTTTTTTGTGGGAATAAAAAATTCAAAGTGAAAAGCAAAAGAATGTAGGGGGGCCTAGGGATGTGAGCTAATGAACAGAGAAATGTTATTTTTAGGCACAGGAATGTCTTTCTTGTTTATTCTGATGTGATACCCTATTTGGAAATTTGTATCTTTTTGAAATTTGTGGACATGGCAAATCAATTACAAAATCTGACCACTGTATTGATAGTTAAATCAGTAAAATGGGTAGTTTCTTGTACTCGTTCTATAGAAAAAATGGAGTTCTAGCGAAACAGTTATGATTTTTGTCGACTAGTACACTGGAATTGGCCGAAAATAGGGCTCAAAATGGGCAAAATCGCCGATGCGTAAACATTGTCAAGACCACTAACTTCGCGAGAGCATAATTCCATAAGTTTTCCATCAAATTTCATACTTTTGGTGTCATTATGACTGGGAAAAGATTCTCTATCTTTTCGTAAGAAAATATATAATTTTTTTTTTTAAATTTGGGGGACCCTGACAACAAGTCTTGGAGAGGGCCTGTGGACCCTGAAAGGGTTAAGGGACCTCCCTCAAGGGGGAAGTTCGCATCCTGAAATTTCGTTCGTATCCAGAGGGAAAAAATCGACCAAACGACAGCTCGTATCCTGAAAAATTTACTTGGTGGGGTGTTCGTAAGCTGAGGTTCCACTGTAGTACAAATTTAAGAGAGAATACAATTAAACAAGGATTAAAAAAAAAGAACAGAACAGAGATCAAAAATAAAATTTTTAGACTACTCAAAATGGTACTGTACATAAAGCCTTAACTCCCCAACAACAAATTTAGAGAGATTTATGGGAGACTGCAAAGGTTACTGGATGAATTTGAGAAGGTATGTGAAAGGAAATTTAAAGTGAACACTGGAAAGAGCAAAGTAATAAGGACTAACAAAAAATTTAGGTAATGATAAATTAGATATCAGATTGGTGGAAGTATGGAGGAAGTAAATATATTTAAAGATTTGGGAGTGAACTTGTCAGTAGATGGATCTATGAAAGATGAGGCGAGCCACAGAATTGGCAAGAGAGAAAAAAGGCGAGTGGTGCACTGAGACATCTGTGGATACAAAGAATGCTATCCATGAAAACAAAAAGGGAAATGTACGAGAGTATAGTGGTACTAATCGCAATTACACGTGTGTGAAGCATAGGTTGTGAATGTCGAAACAAGGAGGCTGGAGGCAGTGGAGAAGCTACGCCTGAGCTTGGGGGATTAGAATGAGGTGCAGGGTTACTAAAAGCATCATCCAAAAGATAGAGAGAGGTCATTGAGGCAATTCAGACAGAGAAGATGAACAAAATAGGATGACTTGGAGGGTGTATAAATCTGCAGTGAAGGAAACGCAGGGTAGGGGTCATCCTAGGAAAGGTTGGAAAGAGGGGTGTGAAGGTTTTGTGGGCAAGGGGCTTAGGCATCCAGCAAGCATGTGTGAGCGTGTTAGACAGGAGTGAGTGGAGGCAAGTGGCTTTTATAATTTGACATGCTTTTGGAGTGTGAGCAAGGTAACTTATGAAATGGTTCAGGAAAACCAGTTAGCCAGACTTGAGTCCTGGAGGGAAAAAAGTACAGTGTCTGCACTCTGGAGGAGGAATGGGAATATTTGCAGTTTTGAACTGTAGTATCAGCACCCATCTGGCAAGACAATGATGGACTGAGTGATGGTGAAAGTGTTTCTTCCTTTTTGGGTCATCCTGCCTCAATGGGAGATAGCCAGTTTGTAGGAAAAAAAAAATACTGATGGTAAACTGCTTTGGAAAGTGGTTAACCCATACATTACATCAAACCAGAATATTCAGCAGATGAAGATAAAATAAATGAAGTCTAAAAGGTGCTATAAAATTGCTGCAAGGTCTCTAAGTGAAAACAATGAAAATGCCATTTTTGGTTGATCTGAGCAAACAAGACATAACACAAAAACAGCACAAAAAGACAAAAGAATAGATAAGATTTCTAGAGTAAAATGAAATCCAGGAGGTAATAAGTCACTAGAAAATGAAAAATCATTACAAAATCATGACAAGCATAAGTCTATTCTTGTATTGAACTAGTTACACCACTCAAAAACAACAAATAAAATGGGTCTAAAATAATTGATTCTGTGTGTTTGTAAGTTCTTCCAAAAATCCACAACAGGGTCCATGGATGACCCCGAAATAAACACACCTTCATGTCCTCAAGATCCTTTTCATTGGTCATCACAATACCTGCCAAAACCTTTCGTTTAGCAAGTGATGGATTACCAGATGTCAGTTCTGAGAACTTCTCACAAACCAGTCTGAAAAGTAATACAAGTAATAATAAATTAACACAAATTATCTTCTTTTATAATTGAAAGCAGTGTCAATAAGAGTGAAATCACAATAAATGAGAAATTTTTGCATGGTAAACATGTTGCACGAAGCTAGAGGGTTTCTATGTAATCACAACTTTGTACTTTATTATTACATTCATAGTGGAAACACTAAACCCTTAGATCAAGCACCCCTCGCTATCATCTAGGAACCTCCCTCGAGGAGGTTGGGGAAGGGGGGGGGGTCTTCAAGTGCATACAAATGTAAGAAAGTAATCTGAGAGCTAAATGACGAATAAAACAAAATAATAAAAGAAAACACAAGAGCCCACCAAGAGCCTAACCAGTCAACTGCCAATGATGGTGACCAGTGGTCAATGAAGCTTCATTTTTATGGTGCAAGATGTTGATGAAACTCCATTCCTAGTATAGTGCTGTAATGATCTATACAAGACTGAAGTGGGAAGTAAATGGAATAAACAAATAAGCAACAATACAAACTAAATCACTAAAAACACACAAATGAACATATAGCCCACCACCCACAACTGGAAATAAAAAAAAAAACACATACGTACGTACGTATTTGAAAACCTGACCTTGAAT